AAACACTTTCCCAGGAGGTTTATGTGAAACTGGCTTTAGAGAGATCTAGAAATACCTGGAAACAGAGCTGGTTTCATCATTCCACTGCTTAGGGGCCCAAAGAGATGCATTGTGGAAATGGGTAAGATGTTTTTGTTTGGTTTAGTGTAGTAGTAATAGTCAGTCCAGCCTGGAACACGTGAGCACTGAAACTGTAGGGAAGGTCCTGTTCAGCTTCTTAGGCTGAATACGAATGATGCAGGGAACTAAGGGTTGTAGGAAATTTTGTTCTGCATGTGTGAGTCATGATCCTTCAGGGCTTAGGAATTTCCTAGTTTGGACAGGCAGGTGTGAGGGCAGCAAAACAGATGCTACATTTCTGTCCCTAAGTATGTGAGAGTTTTTCTTGAACAAGGAGAGGATTGCTGTCATGCAAGTGACTCTGGGGATGCACAGGAGCATGAGCTTTTCCTCCAGTCTTTTCCGGTTTTGCCACCCCTCCAAATTCTTAAATTATTGCACTTCTCTGTCATTTACAAGGTAAATGAAACTGACATGAAAAGCTTCCTGCAAAATAAAATTTCAGCTGAAACTGTTAAACTGTTGAAATAGAGCAGTTTTTTTTCTAAAAACACCTAGTAATTGGTGTGGGTTAATTAGTTGGAGCTTGGCAGGCAATGTTTTTGCGTGGTATCCAGAGAGTTAAGTTCCTTACACTTTCTTCTTAACAACATTCGGCATGGAGGGAGCTATGGGCAGAATTCTCCATCTAGTTTTCTGATGGGTGTGTATGTTTGAAACTTTTTTGCTAAATAGGAGCTTCATACAACAAGATGAAACTTGCTGCAGATTTCTGAGTGTTAGGTTTGTTGAAAGATGAACCATTCCTTCCTTTCAGATCTTGCCCACTTTCCAAGTTGAGTATGACAGGACAGTGGCAGTTGGCTTTCTGCATGCCTTTGTGGATCTAGGCCTTTCTAGTGCAGTGCACTGGCTTGATCAGGTTTTTTTAAGATTGTGAGATCGAGTGAAATTTCCTACAATACTGAGATGCTTGGAGGATCTTGTGATCTCATCATGCTTCTTTATTCACAGGATGATTCCCCAGGAGAGGGAGACTTGCCCTTTCAACTGAGCTCTCAGTCTTCCTCGTCGCATTCTCAGCTTACAGTGGATTTACCTGTTCACATTCTTCAGGTACAACATGTTAGAGTCATTGGGTTCTCTTACTTAGCTTGAAAGTGAAGACAGTTTGCTATGATGACTGGTGTTCTGCCTGATGAAAATACCTTGTTTTACTTTGGGAGTTTAATTTCACTTACCAGAAGTCGTAAGTGGAGAGCTGCACTGCAAGGTTGATCTTGAACATGTTACCAGCCTTTGACATGTCATAGACAGTTATTCTTCTTTCTGTTACTCAGTAATGAGTAAGTAAATGTTACTCATTTGTTACTGAAGTGCCTCATCCATGTTTTCCTCATCTCATCCTGCATATATTGAGTCAAGAAAAAAGATCAGAATAGATATGTACAGGCTATGGGAAGAGTAGAGGGGGGGAATACAGTCTTGGTCCTACATTTCAAAGCAGTGTCTATATAAGAATGGCAGATTAAAAAGTCTACAGCCTTTGTTTTCACTTCTTGCCCTTGGTAACTACTCAGTGTCAGTGTTGTTTGAATGCAGAAAGCTTTGTATAGCTTCTTGCAGAATGTTTGGTTATCTGCTGTTCCAGTAAACTGTGTGGTAGGTAGAAGAGGAGCAGCTGAGAACTGAGCAGCAGTCAGTGATTAGCATGTGCATAAATCACAGTTTCTACTTGACAATGTGGAGCTTTTGTTCTTTGGTTTTGATAAACTCTGCAGTGCAGTTTTTCTTACCAGGTGAGCTTCTCCTGGATGGAAAATAAAGCTTTTGCATTTGAGAGCATCACCTTACCATGTTAAATCTGGAAGTACTGGGGTCATTGGCCATGGTAGAGAATTAATGAAGGAAAAGCAAATAGTGATTCTAAATTTATTACTGTTAGTACTGCTGCTCTGAAGTGTTCCAAAGGAAAACAGTGGCACTGTCTGAGTGGGTCTAAAAAGTAAGAGAGCTTTGAATTTCCTCTAAACCATTCAAAGCATTTCTCTGGTCTTGGATAAATCTCAAGGTAATCTTAGTGATAAGATAAAAGGCTTAGAGGTGAAAGCACTGAACTCTTTATGCTGTTTGTTTTAACAGGAACCACACAATTCCACTGAAGATGATGCAGGTTCTGATAACTCTCAATTCACTGGAAGCACAATAAACTTACAGGATCTGGAATGACCTTTGTTTAGAACAGTTACTCGAAAACAAATTGGGCAATCGTGTCTTGACAGAGTGAAAGAACTGTGTGGGTCTTTTTCCAAGGAAAATCTGAAAACTAGGAGTACTGGATTGTGGTTGCACTCTTTGCAATTTGCTAAGGACAGCTGCAACTGAAAGATTTTCTTAAAAAAATATAAATCCCACTTGATTGTGCCTGTGTAAGATACCCTGTCTGCCTTGTGGTTGGCCAGACTGAGGCAGACTGCTGTACAGTGTTGTTTCAGGGAGAAGTATTGTATTAAACTTCAAACTGAGGTAATATTTACTGTTTTCACAGAAAGCAAGTATTCTACAGCTAACAAGTACAAACTTATAATCCTGCCTACAACAGTTAAATCTTTCTTTCTGTTGGTCTCCTGCTGGAGCCAGTGGCATTGAGGAATTAAGAGCTAAAATTTGCAGGTGTTTTTCACCCACAAAAAATTATTGCTTTGGCCCTTCTGTTTTGGCAGAAAACTGGAATAAAGTGTCACATGTAACAAAATGTCCTATGCCATGACAACGAGATACTCTTAAAATCTTTGTTTTAGGAAGCTAGATTCTAAATGTTAACTTAGCTGTGAATCAGTTGGTAGCTCATGTTGAGTTTCTCCCTTTCCTTGCTCCTGCATCCTAAATACTTTGCTGAATTCTTCCAGCAAAACCTGAAAACTGCAATAGAACTGTACTCCCTGTAAGTGATTAGCCAAGAGTCCAACAGCAGCTGAGAGAGGTTCATCTTGTCTTTGTGTTCCCTTTTCTGGGAGGAATGTTGACTGTCACATCAATCTAAGCACCTTTATTTTATCTCATCTATAAATTGCTGCCAAGTTACCTGTGAACTGGCCACTGTCTTTTTATTTTAGGTTTTGGGTTTTGTTTTTTTTCTTTTTTTCAATTGAGCACTGGTAACACTTGTTCTTTCTTGATATCCCAGAGTGTCACATGCACATGGAGCTTCTGGCTGGTTTACAGAATATGCAGTTTTCTGAGTATGTTATGAGGGGAAAAAGAATTGTTACCTAGGAAAATTTGCCCCACTGAAAAACTGCAGTTTCTCTTAGGGGCAGGGGGAGAGGTTGTATGTACTGTATTTATCTGGATTGCAAACACCTAAGTAAGTACAGGCTTGTATAGGAAAAAAAAAACACTCTCTGGTTACATTTTAAGGTAGTAATTTAAATGTTTCTTAAGGTGGTGTACTGAATGCCTATAAAATTATGTATAGGAGTTTGATAAAAGGATGTATGTATTGTTTTTTATTCTCAATGAGGTGTGTGTATGCACGTATGTGTATTTTTTTTTTTTTACAAAATAAGAATGTTGTGATCTTTCTAATCTTGCACATATTTATTTATTTTACAGTTATACTGGTGTTGAATTCACACGAGGTCATTCAGAAATGCTTTTACTTCCTGTGCCTTTCAAACTATGTATGTGTCCAGATAAATGCTGTTTTGGTTGAAAACTTGGGGAGGAAAAAAAAAAAGTATACAAGTTACATTCAACTTCAGATCCTGATTTGTAGGCAGTGTTTTATCCTCTGGTTGAACCGTTTTTATTTTTCTATCTTTAGCTTAACTGAGCATTGAGCTCTCTCTGATCCTCTCATCCTGAGTTTACAGCTTATGTCTGGAGAATCCCTTAACCCTCTCAGATTTGGTTTCCAAACCAAACTGATTGATAGATGAGATCTTCTACCTGGTGGCTGTTGACATGGAGTCGACTCCTGAGAGAGGTAGAAGGGCTGAGGAAGAATCATGCTGAAGGGACTACTGGGTCTTGCTCTAGTGGTCGCCATCCTCTCCCTGGAACCTGAGACACCTCGTGCACCCAATGCCTGCATTATTCTGTTCTCAAGGACCATACCAGTTTTTAATCTACTAAAATGGCCAAGGAACACTCCATCTTTTTATGGGACTTGTAACCACATCTTTCTACTTCTGAAAATGTACCTCACTCAGCTTTGTAAGTGAATGTAAAGTGCTAACCTCTTGGGGCCGAAAATGGGATCACTTGGCTTGAACTCCATTGCTGGCAATGGATACCTGAAGAACTGCTGGTGCAAAAGGGTTAATAAAGTTTGTTTTTTTTAATGGTCTGTTTGTCACTGGGTGTTGTTCTTTGGATTGATGCATCTGACATAAAGCTACTTGTTAGCAGCTTGTGTTTTCCCTTTGCTTGTGTCTTCTCCACAGTAGTAGAGTGGAGTATAAAATGAAACCCGTCCTTTGGGTGAAAGCATGGCTTTTGTTTTTTATAGTCCTTCAATTGATTTGTGATTATAATAAATGTCTGTCAGGTACCTGGCTTAGTTGTACCATCACAAAGATTGTTATGCAGGACTGTGATGATTCTCACTGGCCAGGTTTGTAGGGATAGTGCTATTTGTGTGAAAACAGCGTTGTTGCAGGAGCCTGAGAAGCAAGATGAGAGAAAATTATTATTTATTTTCTTAGGCAGAAGATCAGTAGGGAGGAAAAAAAATGGTTGCTGGGCACAGCAACTTTCCCTGGGATCTTGGGGTAGGAATTTTGTGGGATCATGAAGTTCATCAACTGAGGAAGTGGCTTAGGCTCTTCACAGGAGGCTGCAGATCTGTGAAAAACTGAGCTGTGTTAGTCCTCCATGCTGTGGTTAAGGCTGTGCTGTCAAGTGAAAAAGTAAGAGGAGTTCTTCCTTCTCCTTATCTATTCTTGGTTGCGCTTTTTCTTCTCCTTCCTGGCAGGTTTGGGACGAAACACGTTCTTCTGCAGAGGAAGAAGAGGTGTGTGCGTCAGTGCTGTGCTGGAGCAGCCTGGCTGAACCATGCAGCTCCAGCTGCCATGTGCTGCCAGGCTCTCCTGCTGCCAGGGGCCTTGGCCTCTTGCTCTCTGTTTTTCTAGCCAGGCTACAGTGTCTCCTATGGGTGGGTTTTTCTATTAGAAAGTGTCAAGCACCTGAAGGCCATGTTTGAACTCGTGCTTCAGCTTCTACAAAGTACTATAGCACCTGCAGCTTTTCTGACTAAAGCCTTGTTTGTAAGATCTCAAGAGCAAGGGAAGTTGGAAATCTGAAGAAATACTTGTGGGAACCTGCCAAAACTCTCCAGTTATCTTGGGTAAAGGGGCAGGGACTCGGGCCTGCTTTCATGCTGTCATCAGCTTAGTGTGTGACTGAGGACTGGGAGGTCACCATTGTGTTGACCTGTGAAGTGTGCAGCAGGAGCTGTGGCCTGAAGCTCCATGCTGTGCCTCCTGAGAGGGCAAAGCTCAGGTGTCATGTGGGACCTGCCAAGAAAGGTATGATTTGATGGTGTGGCTGAGCTGATGTAGGGGCTTGCTGCTTGGGAGAGGGACTTGCTGCTGCTGCTTCGTTTGCTCATTGTCATGCTTTTTTATAATATGGCCAAGTCAAAAAGTTGAAACGAGCTTAAGGAGACAAGTGGCAAGTAGTGGAGGGGGCTGTGTGTTCAGGACACAAGGATAGAAAGGCGGACAGTGAGAGGACACTGAACTGGAATAACTGGCAGCAGTTGTGTAAGTTGCATCATTCCTGTAAATTAGGCTACCCCTGAGGAAGGGTGCCATGCCCACTCAGCCATGGAAGCCCCTAGCAACACTCTTCCCTTAAATGCTTGGTGTTCAAATAGCCCCAGCCCCTCTGGAGGGGTGTGTGGAGGCACTGGAGTCCTATGGATTGCTGCACCCACCTGTTTGTTCATAGCTGCTGGTGGTATTTCCAGGGCCCGCATTGTTCTTTCCAGGGCCCGTTGTTTTCTTTCCTCCTCTTGCTGCTGCTGTTGTCTGAGCTTCTCCTCTCTTCGCCTTTTAAAGGGAGCAAATAACAGCTGGGTTGAATGTGGTCTGCAGCTTACCTCAATATGCTTTTGATACCTGAGCACAGGGGTTTGGGTATAGCCCAAAGCTGGAATTTGGTGCCATGAAGGTGGCGAGAGGAAAACACTTGGCAGAGTTGATCCTACTCTTTTTGGAGTGAAGGGAAGAAAAAGCACATCGGGCTTTGCAAATGGAGATGTCAGACATGCTCTGTACTACCTTCAGCAGGTGACTTGTGCTCTGCAGTTGTCTAGGATGCTTGTGGGTGGACAACGCTTATGAAGTTCTCAGCGGTGCAACCAAGTCTGAGGTACAGATGTGAGTAGGAGGGTTTTCCAGCTGCGGAGCTACACTGCCTACAGGGGCACTGGGAATACTGATAACTGGCTACTGTGGAAATGCAGCAGTGGAACAGAAATGTTCTTAAGCTATTGCACACTGTGGCAGAGAGGAAACTAGTTCTTAACCATGTGATCTTCAGGAAATTTTTAAAGGCTTTTGGAAGGTGTTGGTTGGTTTTGCTTTTTATTAGGCAGGGTGTCAGATTCCTTCCTGAATTCTCCATCCCCAGAGTACAATAAAGGTGTCTCTTATTTCTTTTGTAAATTAAGAGTGCAAAACAGTTCCCAGAACATAAGGTAGATGCATCACACTCCTACTGCAAAGGTAAAGAAAGATGCAGAGAGAGAATAAATAGTAGGGAATGTCACTGTTCTGGCTTTAAATCCTCCCACTATTTTTTTTATTTTCTCTGCTGGATCTGATCCACCTGGGGGTGCCCAGGTACAATCAAATCAACTGTCCAGTTGCATCTTTGCTGTTTGTGAGGGAAAATGCCATGTGTGCAACTGAGACAAGCAATGCATCTTGGAACCTAAATTTATTGCGTTAACTGGCTGCGATTTAATTAAATAACACAAGTTTCAGGTAGGCATTTTGCAGAAGTGTTTGAAAGCTGATTTTACTGGCAAGTGCCCTTAGGTACCTGTTGAAGTCTGACAAAATATCAGGGAGTCAGATTTTGAGTGTGTTAAATACCTACAGAGCAAAAATTTTCTATTTGTTCAGGTCAAATATTGTTACTGCAAATTGTTTTCTTAAAATTATGATTTTCATCATTGAATCTGCTCAGAGATTTTTTTTTATTTTTTAATATTTATTTTTTCCTCCTTCTAGGTTTTGCTCTTTTCTGATGTAGCTTCCAGGTCTTTTCTAATGTAGCTGTGGGCTGCTGCTCACTGGTTGAGAGATACAAGCCCTACGAATGTGAAACCATTGGGGAAGTAAAATGAGATATGTTGGTAGCACAAGCTTTAACCTGGCTGTTACAGTGTCTTGGGTTGATCTGAGAAATGTGGCTCTTTCAGTGGCTTTGATTTTGACAATCAACATTTAAAAACAGAGGCCCCGTTACCAGAAGAGAGTCTTACCTTTTCCTCAGTTCCTTTCTTCTGGCTTTCTCAGCCTGCTTTAACGTTTCTGGTGGGATTACCTCCAGGCTGTCCAGTAAATCATTGAGCTGTTTTTCTATCACCATGAGCATTTCTGTTGTCTGCAGGTTTGTCTTATTTTCTCCAGTGCAGTGCCAGTAGACTTCCAGCACCTTCTTGTTCAGGCTTGCAAGCATTTTGTCCTAGAGATGAGAGGAGATATGGAGAGAGATACAGCTGGGTTCTTCCTTAGTAGAACCATCATCCCACCAAAAGCAATCAGTACACTTTTAATTCCTTCAACAAAACCCAATTGCTTGTTTCCTAGTTTGCACAGCACCAGTGTCTGGGCTAGAGGGCTATGTTGAGCCATTCTTGTGTTGGTGTCATCTTCCCAGCTTTGCTGTGACCTGGGACAGGTTGCAGGTGCAAGGTTGGCTCTGTGAGCCCTTCTCCCATCTTGTAGCAACTGGGTGGAGTAGATGCCTTTACCTCAGTTTGCTGCCTCAGCAGTGCCCCAAACCTGCCTTTATTATAATTCGATTGCTGAGAAACAGTCCTGATCCCTCCCCAGTGCAACCTGCTGCCTGCTTTTTTTTCCCAGGATGGATATGACTTGTGGAGAAGGAACCATCTATGCCCGTGCTGACCCCCATTGCACTGCGTACCTGGTCATCAACTTCATCTCCTTCCGAGGAAAATAAACTAACTTTGAGCTTTAGATCTGCTACTCTCTTTTCTTCCTTGGCGACAGAGGCTTTGAGGGTGTCTACTTGCTGTTTTAGCTCTTCTAATTTCTCCCTAGGCCAGAAGAGAAGGGTTATTTCGAAAAGGGTGTCCCTGAAACACGACTCCTCAGCTGCTTTCCAGCCTGGACCATCCCCCCCTGCTGCCGGCAGATGGAGGTAACACTTCATGTCAGTTCTGGGGAACTTGCGCCTGCATCTCTTGAGAGCAGAGAGAACTCGTGGTTTTTCTGGAGTAACAGTTTCTGTGCTGCTGTGGGGGAGCGGCAGCACAGCTGAACAGTCAAGATTTTTTAAATAAGTCAATGGGGGTAGTATAATCCATTTAGAAACTTTCTCAAGGGTATGAGATGCGCTTTAAATGGGAATATGTGTGACTACCTGCTACTGAAATACTCTATTGCAATTGCACCTGAGTTCCTGTTGGAAAGGTTTGCATTGGGTCAGAATAGGTGCTGGTCTGGATCACTCCTGGACGTGCCTCGTTTCTTCCTTTGATCTTTCTGTATTACAGGGCACTTCTGCCTTATGGCTACTCCAGGATGCTGAATGCAGCAGTTCCCCAGCCTGTGCCTTGAGGACTAAGGGGTTAGTCCCAAGCTGAAGTTCTTTCTTCTAAATTACATCGAGGAGGTGCTTTCCTAGGAGCTCACAAGATGGGAAGCTGGATGGGCTGAAGCTGGGCTTGCAGGTATGAGAAAGAGGCTCTTTGTTGTGTGCTGCATGAAGAGCATTGCCTGTGGGCTGCAGCTTGCAGCCTGATGGTGAGGAGCTACTGGGAGAAGAGGGGGTCACTTGTGTTTGAAAGCTGGGGCACGGGGGCCCCTTCCCACCACACACAGGCCCACTTACATGCTTTCACGTGTGGTGATGAAATTGTGTTGGACCTTGCCTAAATTTTCCTCAGCCTCCTGGAAATTTTGGAGTAAGGACAAGATCTCTTCCTTTTTCTCCATGAAAGCAGACAGCAGTTGTTGGGGATCAGTAAAATACAACTCAGGCTCCTGGAGTGGAAAACATGTACAGTGAGTTTTTGTCCTCTAAGGTCTTTTCCATTGAACTACGTGGAGGTTGCTCTGCACCAGCCCTGGTTCTTCAAGTGTTCTTCATGGTCCATGACTGCCCATGTACAAATGTCTCCTACCTTTCTGCCATTGTGGAGCTTGACATTGCCTGAGTAGCTCACCCCCAAAACAAGTGGCATTTTGGGGAGTGAAAAGTGGTGCAAACATCTGTGAGTGGAAGAATTTCAATTTCAGGCATAAAACAATAACTTCCCCAATTTAGAAATCTCCTATTATGTGGTGTCATTTCTCACTGGGGGATGGCAAACTTTGAGATAAGGTGGGAGATTTTTGGAAAGTGGTGAAGGAAGTTAAACTAAGGTTATTTATAATAAATTTTGCTAAAATATGATCATTTACAAATTTATAAACATACATTTATTATTAGCAGCTACTGTAACTACTTAATACCATAATGAATGGTTAAAAGGTAATAGAAATTAGTAACATCAATAAATGACACATAACAAACAGAAAATGTAAATATGTCAAGACAAAACTTCTCACCTCATCTTCATCCGAGGAGGTTTCACTTTCTGCATCCTCCAGAAAACTTCTGAAAATCATTTTTTTTGTGTGTCAGGCCCTTAGAGAAATGATAGCTCAGGGAGACCTTGTTAGTGACTTATGAACACTGTTGTTGTTTGCTGCTCTTATTTGTTCCTGAATAGTCTTTTGCACCTTGACGTGTTTGGCCCCCTGTGGCTGTGGGCTTCTTGAGGGTCAGTAGGAGCTGGGGGTCACACAAACATGCAGCATGGGAAATACAGCTGCCCCAGACAAGCTGCCTTCTGGGCTCTGCTGGCCAGCAGGGTCACGACATGATGCATGAGCCTGAACTGAGTGTTGAGGCTTTCAACAAAAAGTCTTTAAACCAGATGGGAGGCTGGACTCCTGGGCAATGAGAAGCCTTGTTTAAAAGGCTCAGGCAGCAGCTCAAAAAGTGTAGAGAAAGCCTTGTGCTCCCTGTGGGATGTGGTACTGCTCCCAAACAGCCTGGTGTAGCCACCATGGGAGTCTGCAGTTTTTACCTGCCCTAGGAAAAGATTTTTGAGCTGCTTGCTCTGCACAGCCTACCAGCAGCAGTGCAGTCTCATTCTTCCCTGCTCAGCCCCAGGGACAAGCCAGCACAAGAGCTGGAAGAGCCAGGCAAGGGGTGACTGACTGATGTTGGGAGCAGGGTCTGCTCATCACCTTCACTTGCACCTGCCACCCTGTGCCAGGAAGGAGTGAAAAACCTCCTTTTGCATCATGTAAAAGTCCTGCCTGTGGCAGCACCCCAGTAATTGCAGTGGCTTCACAAGGGGTGGCACGTGGCAGCCTTGCTTGGGAGGACTTGGCACCTGCAATGCTCTGAGTGAAGGCAGAGGAACTGGCCCTGCAAACCATGACTTAGTTTAAACTCTATTGATAGCCATGGGGTTTTTTTGCCTTAGGAGACTCACCAGCCACCCACACTTTGCTTTTCCAAGCAATTTCTTTCTTTGCCTCAAGAGGTTGGAGCTGGCTGTACTTGTCTCATGCTCCCACCTCCCCTCATCTCCTCAGGCTGGCCCTGCCTGCCTTACAGCAGTGACTCTGCCTTGTCCCAGCACATACTGCTCTTACTGAAAGCAGACAGTCATTGCACTGTGGGTCTGCTGTGACCTTGGACCTTCATTAATGGCAAAACAGCTGGCAGCTATTTGCATGGCAGCTGTGACCAACAGAGTGAACCAGTAACTCAGCCACAAATAGGCCACAAAGAAGCTTTGCTCCAGGACAAATGTCCAAGGTCTGTAATTCCTTTTGGGGTCAAGGCCCAAGCTCTTTGGGCAGGCACTCAGCAGAGGATCTGAGGATGGAGCTCTGTTGGAGCAGGTACACAGGTACTGGGTTGCACACTTGATGGCTTTCTACTGGTATTTGGGCTGGCTCCAGTAAGGCTGAGATCTTGGTATGCTCACAGTGAAGGTGAAGAGCAGGTTTCCTCTATACTGACTCCCAGTCATTTGAGTGGTCTCTCCATTACTGAAGCCTGTTGTTTGCATTGTCTGGTACTTACGGTTTTCCCGTCGGCAGAGGCCGCGGGCAGGTTTGGCGCTGCGGCCTGAGCTCCCGTGTGCAGCTGAGTTCCAAACCTCCTGAAGGCAGCAGGGAACTTGGCACGTCTATGCAACTGTCAGCGTTTGTCCTGGATGTCGGACCCTGGCCTGGAGACAAGAAGGGATGTGTGCTTAGAGCATGGGGCTGTCCCAGGGAGGAGTGGGCAGCTCTTCCCTGGCACTCACCCTGCTCTGCCGTGCTGGCAGGTGAGGCACTTTCCTCATTAGCTTTGGATGATGTTTTCAAATCCTTTTTCTTTCTGTGCTTTTTTCCGTGTTCCTCCTGCCACTCCTTTGGAGACAGTTCATAGAGGAAGTCCCTGTACATCTTGTACTCCTGCAGAGTATACTTAAGTCTGGATATATCACTGGGGTGAGAGAAGTGGACACAGTTGGTTATCAGGGAGGAAGCCATCTGTTTGAACATGTTCTTTCTAGGGGCAGGTAAAAGCCAGGCAGGAGCAATGCCCAACCTTTACCTTTGGAGGTTCTCTATTTCAGAAGTGATTGCCTGGACCTCTGTTGCTTTCTTTGTCTTTGCTGCTCTTTCTTTTTTGGCACTAGGAAAGAATGAATAAACAAGCCATAAAACAACTGAGCAGTAAGTAGGTAGTGAACTGAGGTGCATATAAAACAGAGAAAAAGATGTGGGGGGAACACTGAAAGTCTGTTCTATAGATGTACCCCAGGTGGTGATTGGCTGCTGCCTGAAGGCCCTGCTTGCTGTGGCAGAGAGAGTATGAAGTCCCAGTGACACTTCCTGGTTAGGGACTTGCTAGTCTGGCTGCTGAGCATCAATTGTTGCTCTGCCCTTACGATTCCTGGAATGAGCCAAAATGCTCAACTTACTCCACTAAAGGGACTGTTCCTGTTGTGAGAGGTTGGGCAGAAGCATCTCCCTCTTGTAAAGGGAGTTGTGAGAAGAACAGAAGTGATGGGGTCACCAGCAGGTTCACCAGCCAAATCAAGGGCTTCTGCAGTGAGGGGATTCCCCAGGTATTGATTTCCTTCCTCTACTTCAGTGAAATGGAGAGGAAGTGCCACCAGGCCTGTAATTCTGGGAAAACTCAGACCATTAGAGGTTAGACGCTGGCCAAAACCCTGCAGGGAGGTCGAGCAAAAGACCTGCTGTGTCCAGCACAAGAGAGCACAGAGATGGTTCCCTCAACTTCCATTACATTGTCAGGGCTTCAACGGTTTTTTTTTGGTTCTCCTTCAGGAACTCATCAAACACAGCAGCATCCTTCTTTAGGGAGCATTCAGACTTTTCCAGTTTTCTTTCCTCCTTCTTTGCTATGTTCTCGATCCTTTGAATCTCCTCTTGCTTTACTGCCTTGGCATACTGAAATGAACCCAAAAGGCAACACGTCACACTGCTTGGTTGGGTTTAAGGGTGTGTTGATTTAGCTTTGTTCTTGGTTACCTGACTGTTGTTGGCAAAAAGGGTGAGGATTTCAAACCAAGGTATGTGTCTTAGTGCAAGCCAGGTCCATAGAGGCCAGGAGGTGTTTCAGATGTAACACAGCAAATATGCAGTGAACCTAAAGACAGAGCCTAGAAATCCCAAACACTCCTGGCTGACGAAGACAGATTCAGTTGTGTCACAGCACAACAGTAGAGACAAATGGGCGTATTTCAGTACAGCTCCCTAATTTTGAGTTCAGAATGGCTCCCAGCTGTGATCCATGTATGGGACAGCTGGGAGCCAAAAGGTTAGTGGATCTGTGCATCTTGGGAATGAAATAGTTGCTTGGCTGCTACTGGTGGTGCAAATAACCTATGTTCATTTCTTTCTTGGTTGGGGATTGCTGAGCTACAGACTATGTGTGTCTAACACAGGACAATCAGTTCCTGAGGTCTGACGTGTGCCTCCTTGGTGTGATCTCTAGGCAATGGATCTCAGGGAAAAAAACAACAAAAGAAACCACAAAAAATCCCAAAGCAATACAGGAAATAATAATTAAATTAACATAAAGTAACATTCTTAAAGCCAAGTACCTCAAGTAAAAATAGCTCTCTTCTGAAATTTCTGTAGTCATGGGCAGTCTCCTTTTCTAATGGATTATCTGAAATTAGGATATAAAGTTGATCAGACTAGAAGGGGAAATACAACCAAGGTAAAACACAGTGAATATCTAGGCTGTGAAATACAGTGAATACATAGGCTGCCATGAACACTGAAGTGGTTGGCATTGGAGCCAGCAATACTGATTATTATAGTTTTGACCTTGTTTAGGGTCAGTTTTGTATAGGTTCTCATGGAGTATAACCAGCTTAGAATGGAGAATATCCTTAGAAAGGTCAACTTCCTCTTGAATGGCAAAACTTATTCTTCAGATCAGAAACAGAAAATTTAGGCCCACATCCACTAAAATCCAACTTTAGGTCAGCTTAGAAGTGATGTCTCCATGACACAAGGTTCTGTAAACTCTCAACTGACGCCCAGCTGATTCTCAGAGCTCCCAGCTACTGTGAAGGCTACAGGGGATGATGGAACCCAGGCTGTTGTGGTGGGATTGACACATGCTCTGTATGGAAATGCATGAGATGGAGATGGCCCAGCCATAGAGGCTGGCAAGATGCAGCATGTAACTTGTGTCTGCAAGAGCTCACCAAAGTCAGCTAGAGCTGCTGACTGCTACTCCCACTCCCTCTTTGATTTTTGCTTTAGGGTGTTACTCAGCTGAGCAGCACCTCTACAATGATGGTCACTGTTCCCTACCATTTTTACCAACTATCTTACATGAACAACCCCCCTGCTGAGTTTTCATTTTCTCTTCATCTGTTGCCTGTTTTCTGGCCTCTTCTTCCTCCTCTTGCAGAGCTTTCCTGAGCCCTTTTTCCTTTGCTTTTATTTTAGTGGACTGAGTCATTTTCTCATGGATTTTCATGGTCTTCATCCTCTCACGTTCCTATGAGGAGAAGTCAGTTATGTGGACAGGGTGATTATATGCTTCCCCCTCCCCGTGTTTTTTAAGACATGAGTGGTTATTCACAGCCTAGAAATTTGCAGGCTACTGATACCCTGCTGGTGCATGTTTGGCTGAAAATATTCTCTCTCTTGAGGCAACTGAGACAATTTCTTATCACTTGTTCTCATTGGTTTGTTGATTTGTATTCTGCATCCAGCCACCAGCTGTGCCAGTTTGTACCTACTCAGTGTCCTCATTTTTCCTTCCTGGATTATTCCTGGGAGAGAATAGAAGTTTTCAGAAATTTATCCTTTGTCAAGCCCTCTAATAAAAGGGAAGAACAAGACAGTCCATGCTCAGTACCAGCTCGGTCCAGCCTTCACAAAGGTATTTAAACCTTTCAAGTTTGGATTCAGAGGATCTTTTCAAACCCAATCCAGAACTTTCTGGAGGGTAAAAGGTTGTTCACGCTCAGTGTTTTCACATGGGCTGAGGTGCAATTCATTACTGTCTGCACAGTTTGGACATGGGTTCAGCTGAGGACATCCATCAGCAGACATCCTTACTGCACTTCTTCCTAAGCCTTTCCCCATGCTTACATAGTGACCTTCAACCCAAATGAAAACCAGACTGTCAGTCATCAGTGTCAGGTGAGGAGGTTTGCTTAAACTTGTTTGGAGCTCTCCCTTTGTGAGTTGGAAACAAAGACCTCTTGCTTCCACAGTACTGCCTGCTTCTCCAACTACTTGCAACAATCAGACGTCTCAGAGATGCAATAACCTCTCCATAACTTTCCACCCCCTTTGAACTGCATGCCCTAAGGATGCCACTGCAGAAAGAAGAGGGACCCAGCTTTCTCATCTCGTGGGTTGCAATTCCCTGTCTTATGGAAAGAGACCTAAGGCATGAAACACGTTTTCCTTCTTCCAAGACATTCATTTTGCTGGTATTTCAGAAGAAGGTCACATCAAACAATGGAGTAGAGCTTCCCAAGCAAAAAGCCAAGCTTGTTGAAGAGCAAAGCAAGAGATCTTGCACCAAAGCTTTATGTAGAAATCAGTGCCAACAGTACTGGCAGGTCTTTTTTCCAGGAACAAGAATGACAGGTAAATCCACCTTGAAGTAAGCAAACAAAGTGGCAATATCCAGATTTTGCATTAGCAACCAGTGCTCAGCTCTTGGTAAAATTAGTGTCTCCTCATGGACTTCAGAGGACTTGAAGGTGATCTAGGGAACTCTCAGCTGAATTTGGCAGCTATCATTTCTCTCATGCACTAAATCTTGGTAATATATTGGTTGGTTGCCTGCCCTGGTGAATTGCTTGTATCTACACTGGCCTAAAGTATACATACATACATACATACCTCCTTGGCCTTTTTTCTTTCCTGGTCCAATATTGAGAAAATATCCATAATTGGAGGAAGTATAAATGGATTTCTCATGGGGTGTTCTTCTGGGTTTTCTGCAAAAAAAAAAGATGATGAGGCTGTAGAAGACGTGAGGCAGAATATCAGGACCCCATGTCAAGGGACTCTGATCTGTGTCATGCCTGAGGGGTGGGCAGCAGCTGAGACCTCTACATAGTTTATGTCACTTGACCATATCTGCTGATCAACTTGGGATTTCAGATATGGACATTTGTAAGTCTGGAGCTGTTTTACCCATCTCACCTGATTGTGGGCAAAAGAACCTGAATACAGGCTTCTCCTTCAATGAAACAATGAAAAGCTGTTGGAGCATTGTGACCTTACCTGGCAGCTCGATTTCCATTCCAGAACAGCATGATACACTTTCAGCTGCTGACTCTGTACATGGCACCTGTGAATCTGGCCCAAGGAAAACCATAAAAATTCAGTCAGTTGGGACCTGCCAGTAACTGATGCAGTTTTTACTGCAGTGATGAGCCTTGGGGCTTTCTGAATCGTAACCACTGAGCCCTTTGTACTTGTAGATATTAACAAAGATTTTCAAGAAACTAGAAAATATTTGTGCTCTGACCCCAAAAAGGAGATGTTCATGCCTGACTTATGTGAACGCTGTGTAAAACAGTCTTCCTCACACACACGTGGGTTGGAAAGCAAAGACAAAGCAGTTTGTAGATAACAAGCAAGTCAAGTCCCCTGCCTCTTGCTCCCTCTCCAGTTCTGATCCACATCTGTATTTTTTCATCCTCCTATCACTGGCTCACAAGCAACATTTTTACTCCCTGAAGCTCTTACCAGTAATTTCTTCAGCGCCATGTGCTCCTTCTGATAAGGCTGAAGGACTGTTGGACAACACAGACATGCTGCAGGGAACTCTGTCGTGTTGAATTTTAGGCTGGAAAAATGTTAATTAGGTTTTTGCTTCTCTGAATCCCGTCTCTTCTTGTAGTCTTTGCTATGGGTGCTAGGGGAAAAGACATCATTGTGATGCTCTCACTTACAAAGAGCAGATAGACCATTGTCATGTTTTAATCAACAAAGGCAGCAACTTGTGTCTAGTGAGATATTAGTTCAATTGATGCAATTCTGCTGCTGGGACCATTCCTGGTCTGCTCTGTTTTAAGATACAGCAGAAAAGATCCTCTTCCGCTTGCACTACTTTTAAGGCTATTTTAGAGCATCATTTTCTGCTCTGAACAACCTCCAGTTTTTATGTATTTTGAGCTAAACTCACACGACCTAATTTCCATGTATATCCTTGGTGCTTTGTGTTTCCTATTGGCTGCATTTCTGCAGCTGCCCAATTAGGATCTTATTCTTTGGAAGTGTCAAACTTTCACTGTTGATGAGACAGGGAGGCTGGGGGAGAATTCAGGCTGGTTCAATACATCCCAAATGTTTTCCCTTTTCTTTCCAGTTCTTGAAGTATGTTTTCCAAAAGCCTCCTTGCTTATATTTCATGTTTCTCTGAACTTTGCATAACTGAATGGGATATTTTTCTGTAGGGGCCCCTCATCTACATCCTGGAACAACATAAATCCTCCTGATGGTGTGAGTTTTGGAGCAAAGCCCATCAGGGGTAGGAAGGCAGGCAAATCCCTGCAGCATTTAGTTGAATACACTTTGTGAAATAAGCAGAGCAGTTGCATTAAACACCTGGATGTTCACCTTGACATCTGTAATTTAGAATCCTTCTCATAAAAATCTTCTTCTTCATGAGGTTGATTTAAATTCCTGCTACAGGGAATGAGACTGAAAAGCAGGACTAGACAGAGGATACTGACATATGGAAAATAATTGTAAGTGCAACCTGCTGAGATAAAAAATGCTTTAAACATAATTTTAGCATAGTATAGGAATCTGTTTCTAAGATTAACGTAAATATTTGTCTTATTGAGGTGGTTTTGTTTCAGGTCGTTGGGTGGTTTTAATAGATTGTTTACACATCACTTTGGAAATAATGCCAAAAGCTACAGAAGTGGTGGCTGTGCTAATTATAATTAATAAGCCAAATAATGCAAATATGAAATTGCTTTGTTTGTAGAATAATTTGCCATATATTTCACTGCCTCTGACATTTTTATGTTGCACTAGCTACGTACCAATAGCCAGTAGAATGGGGATCAATAGATAAGGTATTCAGGGTTTTAATTTGCTGAAATATTTATTCAGTGCTTTTCCCTACTGTAAAGCTGCTGCACAGGAAAAAAATATGCCAAAGTTAACATGCAAACAGTTCTAAAAAATATGACAACAAAATCCATTCACGTGCTCCCAGAGCACTGGGCTTCCTACACCCAAGGGATTGAAGTGATTCCATCACTTGCAGAGAAGGCTCGTTGGGAATTCACTCCAAGTTTGGAGCTGGAGAGCAACTGTTCCAGGGGTGTTTCTTTTCCCCGTGCATACCCTCCCGAGGAGAAGGAGGTGGTTGGTGGGGGTGATTGCTCGGGAACACCTGCCAGCACCTCCGCTGGGCTGAGAGAGACACCGGCTCTGGTGCCGAGAACAGGAAAGAAGCGGCTGCGGTTCCCCTCACCCCTTGGTTTGTTGGTTGCTCACCCAAAAAGAGAGCTCCTCCGGGCTCCTCTCCGGGCGGGGCTGTGCTCAGCTGTGGCTGTGGCCGTGGCTGTGCTGGAGCCGGGCTCTGCTCCGGGCTTTTCCCCACCTCTTGTTTGCGGTGCCGTGGAAACCGCGCTCCGGTTGCGGGGCCGTTGCCCGGCGCGGCGGGGGCTGCACCGCTCCCTTCGGGCCGGTAACCGGCCCGGCCCCCCGAACCGGGACAAATCCCTCCCGGCTGATGGAGCAGCTGAGCCGGTGAGGTCCTCCTGGAGCCACCCTGGCTGCAGCGGGGGCACAGGGACAGGTCCCCTGAGCGGGCAGGTCGCTGAAGTCCAACCCAGGTGTTGGGATGGAAAAGGGAGAAAAGTTCTGTGGTGTAGAAGGTGTCCCTGGTCTGCTGGGTTCTTTATTCATTATTTCAGTCCACACGGCCAGGGAATAAGGTGTTTAACCCTGTCTCTGCAGGGAAAGTGGGCTGAGGAGGCAGGAGCTGAAGCCCCTGATTTTGGACATGACTGCAATTTATCATTTCAGAGCCTTTGCCTCAGTCTTTCAATTTGTGAAGTCTGAACAGACATAGTTTGGAGACTGTGTGTGATATGGGTGAACAAGCTTAATTTACTGGAGGTTCCCCAAGTCAATAGTTCTATAGAACTTCAAATATCACCTTCCAAAATATCATACAATTCTAAAGGTGGTTTCATAAAATATCAGTGAAAAAATGTAATACATTTTAATGGAGGAAAATATCCTTAAATCCCCATATTTGCTCTTTCCTGTTTCTGAGAAGATCAAATCAGTTCCAAATGTACCATGTTCTTTTCTGGACTCTTTAGACTCTCTATGAATACAATTTCAGCTTTCTGAAATAGCAGTTTCTTTCATTTACCAATAGGTTTCCAAACAGCTTTCTCCAGCTGAATAACTCTTGCAATAAATAGCATGATTTTCTGTAAGTGCAAACTCCCATTTGATTGTTATAGTTCTTTTCTGTAATTACTGATTATCAAGAGATTGGATTCAGGCACCAGAAGGAAAATGCTTATACACAAAGAAATTTCTCTTTATTCTCTGCATGAATGCTTTGATTTTTAGCAGTGATGCAGAAAACTGTGGTGCTATCTTTAGTATGTTTTGGGAAATTTCCCAAATACATTGAGGAGTACGTATTAAGAATGAGACTATAGAATAATTTCCATTACCAAAAATATAATTAATGAGTAAATTGTACTTTAGAAGCATTTTTCTACAAGCATAATATCAAATGGTCTTTGTTCAGAAATACCAGTTTATTACAGAGTTGTGAATTTGCAGCAGTGGTAACATCACAGAAAGAGAATAGAAAAGGAAGACATTTGAACAGCTGTAGCTCTGACTGGCATGATCTCCAGATCAATAAATGGTACAGTTATATATCCATTGCTCTGCTCTGTGCTATACTTGCTAAACACTTATTTCCCCAAACTAGAACAGAAATTATTTAAAAGCAAAGATTTATTTTGTGAATTCTTTAAAATGTGCAAGGCCTTCATGGGTTTGTTTCATGCCATAAGACACTCAGGCTTTGCTTTTCCTTGAGGGCAAAGAAGTTTTTAAGGCCAGAAGAACATCTGGGGTCTGTTCTTAGCCACCATTAACTTGGTTACTGAATGGAATAAGTAGCCTGCACAGCATCATGGGAGAATCTCTGGTGGCAGAGGCTGTGCAGCTCACCAGTGCTGCAGCTCCTGGGGGATCTCTGGGTTGCATCATGTCACTTCAGGGCACTGTGGTTTGGGGGCTTGTTAGATGTTCAGACAGTGCTTCCTCGGTGTGCAGCTCAGGAAGTGTTTGCATGGTAAGAGTGGCAGGTTGCTGCTTACATTCCCAGCAAGATGTCTGCAGGTTTGGGGGCTTGTAGGTGGGGGTTTTGTTAGGACATGGGCTTGGGATTTCAAAGTACTGTTATTTCTTTGCTCCGTTCATCTCTTTCTTGATAGGGTTGCTTGTCTTCTCCACCCCTTGGTCATCCAGTTTGTGATGTGAAAAGGTTACTTGTCATCCTGCTCAGTCACCCCTCTGGTGGATGCTGGTCCCTACCACAGAGGTGCTGGGAGGGTTAGTTAGTGTTGGCAAAGCATTTTGAAATTGTTGATTGAGAAATGTTGCCAAAGATGGAAGCTGGATAAGTATCTAGATAAATAAATAGATAAATATTCCTTTGTAGTCTTTATGGGAAATTCCCTGTGTAGCCAAGATGCTGCCCAGGTCACTGAGCAACCATTTCCTTGTTTCCTGGAGTCTTCTCAAGGGGACTCATTATTTCTCTTTGGTTTCTACCACATGAACCACACTACATTGCATACACAGAGGAAAGCCTGGCAGTGACCTGCAAACATCACAGAAACACTGACTTGGTGGAGATTTTTGTTTTTCTGGAGCCCTTGTTCCTTTGTTTCACAGTGAATCCTGTGGCTGTGCAACCTGCAGCATTCCAGAAAGGAGAAAGGGAAGTTGGAGCCTATTCCCAAGGGTTAGACACAAGGAAGGAGGAGAAGGGAACTGCAAGCAAGTGTCCACAAGACAGTGTCTGCAAGACCTCTGCTGAAAGCAGTGCAGCCAGCTTTCTGCTTCAGTGTGGTCTCTGGTGAGATGTCAGAAGTTTTTCTGCTGGTCTCCTTGGAATGCTGTTCTTCTACCTTTCTCCTGCCTGGAGAGGAAGCAGCTTCAAGTCGGTTATGGAGATCCCATGGGGAGTATATGGCTTCTCATGCACTTCTTGCAAGGTCTGTACATGCTGCTGAGCTCTGTAGAGAGGAGGAGAAACAGTGATCATGTGGTTCTCCTCCATTTATCCTTTATTCACAGCACAAATTTCTGCATCAGCACCACAGCTCAATGAAACGTGCTAAAAGAAAAAGTATTGGAGGCCATATCCATCTTATCTGACCAAGCAAAAAGCCTTAATATGTTTCTGTTTCCCTGCAGGTCTTCTCCCCAATACCAGACTGTCCTGAAGGCAAGGCTGAATGGTCACATACAGTGACTGCTGCATGGACACAGCACATCATGGCACTCAAGACAGTAACATGGATGGCTACTGTCTCTAAGTTATGGAACACATGGAAGTGATGACCTGACAGAAAAAAGGTTAATACAGCTTGGAGTGGAGCCATCCCATACTGGGGTCAGCAGCTAGTGCTGAAGGAAAGAAGGACACCTCCTGTGAACAGCAGAGCTGTGATATTCAGGTGCCCCATGGTGTCTGATCACTG